AATTTTAACATATACAATTCTGTAGAGCTCGTCGAGCTCTATCAAACCATGTAAAAATATTCAAGAAAAAAATTTTATTCCACTTTTGAACTACTGGTACTTTAATTTTCTACTTCAAAAAAGTATAAAATTTCTGAAGTCCGACATTAAAAATGTTTCATAACCCTCACTATTTAGTATCAATAAACCCTATTTTTCACGGGCTTTCATTTGGTATAAAATTCAATATGTTTCCTACTTGAAATCATAGCGGTACCACGCCGTGCAAAATATTTTTTCCAACCTAGTACATGGACAATCGTTAAATAAAAGCGAGAGAGGCATAATATCAGCACCTATAAAAGGAGAAGTTTGTAGTTGTTCCTCATCGTCGTCCGACTAACATGAAGAAGACCATGTCAATCCAAGGACTGTTCTTTCTCGTTCTGTTGATCATCAATAGTGACTCTTTTTCTACGAACAACACGGTTTCGTTGCCAATAACAAAAAATAGTTCGGTGTCGATATTATCCGAAAGAAGCAATCCAAGCTTGGCTACCACAGTTATCAATAGCCAAGTTCTCACCATTTTTAATTATCAAGGCAATCAAATTTATGTTTATAGTGCTCTTTTAAACGAAAATGAAAATCGTCAGTTGCCTCAAAAATGGGTCTTCTACTTCGTGCCTATCATGCTGCCCGTTGTATCAAATGATTCATCAGATAAGTGGGCGTCTATTTTTCGAAATGAAATTAAAATCAATCTGATGTTGAGTAATACAGAAGTGGAAGACTTGGCAAGGAAGGCAATTATGAAGAAATACGATTCTACTACAGTTTAATATTCGTCATACTGGGATGTGGCACCATTGATGATCGATTCACTCATGGCTTATATCGTTCAAGGAACCAATGTGCCTGTCGAAGGTGTTTATCCATATAAAGCTATCCATCCGAATCAATTGATAATGACATTTCGATTTCTATGTTCATCAGAAGAAGTTGCCAAAGAAATTTTGACGAAGATTATCGATGGTGAATATGAGATCAAAGTATCATTCTATTTTGCTGGCTTCAAGCAAGTTTCAACCAATTTCGTATCGATCAGTGGTGATCAACTGAGAAGCGTTATGAGTAAAACAACGGCGGATAGTGGCAATACTAACGCACAGTACATACATCGACAATAAATGTCCGCTTTCATCGGCAAATATTTGACCAATCTCAAGAAAATGATCTACATGGAAAATTAAAATTTGAATTTATCGATGTTGATTGCTGATCTCAGAGATCAATTCGCATCGTTGATGAAACAAGGTAAAATAAGAATCCGATTTACGAACTGTTCTATTTCTCTTTGACACATAACATTAGCATTGGACAATGCAAAAGAAGTAAAGTTAAATATAAAATTTTATGATCAAATTTGGTCATCGAACGATTTCAATCCGGATTCGATTACTAATGAAATAAATAAGTTATTTATCTACAATAAAACCGCCACCGAAATAAATAAACTAACGGATACTTATTTTAATTTGGATCAGGCCAATTCACACTCATCGTCAAAATCAGGTGGTGGGAGTGGTGGATTTTCGATCTTCGGTATTGGAGCAAATGTCCAAGGATCAGGCTCATCATCGAGTTCATCGTCGAATTCTATGTCAACCACAACTAAAAACCTATACTCATCGAAGGATATTCAAGATTTACTTCAAAAACAACAAATCGAAGTTGAGTGGACCGACGAAAAGCGGATACCGAAATCATTATCTGTCTACAAAATCACAGACATCACGGATTATCTTCAAGTTGGCATCATTGCCAAGCAACTTGTAGCAGATAAAGCGAGCGGAGCGATCATTTGCAGTATTAGTACAAATAACCTACAGCTTGTAGCAACGACTTCAACGACGACACTAACTAGTAAGTACTACAGAATGGACCAAAAGTGAGCGAACACCATATTATTTTCTTTTTTTTCTGTGTAGATCTATAGTTAGATCTGACATTTGAGCTGCATATACTATACAACAATACTCAGAGAAGAGCCTATGATCAGCCTTTGGCTCTAAGAGTTTGTTAGAAAAAATACGAATATGTTTCCTGCAATCCTGTATCATTGTCACATAAGTTTCATGTTGTCTACTTGGGGACAATTGACTTTTCCCATTAACCCTTTGGAGCCGGTGGGACAAGGGTTGTCCCGCCTGTTTTTCAATAAAGAGAAAATTATTTTATTTACATTCAAACGTTAGGCCTGGAAGGTCATAAAGGTCATATCTTACTTCCCTTGTCATCCCATGCACATCTTTTCTTTCTTTCTGTCGTATAGGTCCTTCTCAGAGATTCTTTTTTCTTTCTGCTACGATACAGTGATGTCATTACTTCCCTCTCTTCTTCTAATATATTGTTTTTCGAGAATATTCCTACTTTCTATTGCTCTTGTAATTATACCTGCTTCTATTCTCATTGATGCAATTACGTTGTTCTTGGTAGTGCAATAAATTATCATACTTAAATTACATGGTTTCAATAGCAAAGTCTCTCTGCTCTGGTGCTGAACGAATAAGTCGTGGAAGACCTTTTTCTAAGAATTCTAAAGTAGCTTCGTCACAGTCTATTCTTCATTTTGACAATGAAATGCATTTGTCTGTAAAAGCCACACGAAGAAGATGTGCCTATTGTAGCACAAAAGAAGGAGAAGTTAGATCAAGCGTCGAATGTTACACTTGAAAATTAGCATTCTGTGTAACAGATGAAAAAAATTGTTTTTTTGATTATCATGAGGCTTTTATGTAATCATTTTGAGCCAAATAAAATAAATCGTTTACAAAATCATTTTTGATTGAAAAAAAAAATCCGGCCCCAAAGGGTTGCACATTTCCTTCTGCATCATGTTCTGTCTAATTGCATATGCTCTATGATGTTTCTCTTCGTTTGATGATATGAACACGATGCATGTTACGCTCGTTTTTGTTCTGGCATTAGAATTTGTTCTTTGCTCTTCTGTCGATGATGACGCAGTTGTGTGAGAGAGTCATCACACTCATCGGTAGGAAGTTGTGCTTTTTTCATTTCTCTTCACTGATAACAAAATGTAGTTGAAGAGAACAAAAAAAAAAGAAAATATTTACTATTACTGCATGTTGTCTCCTTTTCAGGTCCACATATTGTCGAAATTTCATGATTTACTCACTAGATGATCCTCCTAACGAAATTATCGCCAAAATTTTCTTCTATATCGACGGAACTTTGCCCGAGCTATTCATTATCTCCCGTACTTGTCGTCATTGGCGAGCAATTATTGTTGACGAATGGTTCCTTCAACAACACTTTGCTCGTTTCTGCCGTATTCATACGATTGGTCATTGGCAGTTTGAAAATGCATCGAAATTGGGACACAATTCGATTGATATCACTGGTGATGATCGGCTCTCTCAAACTGGTCAACCACAACAAGCAACATGCTTTCTTGGTTCATGCCTTCTTCTAGACGGTCGTTCATCGATTAATATTCCCGTTCGTGATATTCGACAATATCAAATCGATACATTTTGCGTATCGTTATGGGTCATGGATACCTATCCGAGAGGAATCAGTTGGCGAACAGCTATCGGCTCTTTGCAACATCCATTCAATGCCTGGCTTCATTTAGGTGTTAATCTTCGTGCTGTACTGAAAAATCAAGTAATGATATCAACCGGTTCCGTACATTTCTTTTGTGGTGCTCCGCATCCCATGATGAAAAACACTTGGTATCAATTTGTGGCTCAAGTGTCTCGTAATAAACAACAATTATTTCTTAATGGTCAACTTCAGTGTAATGTCGATATGAGTCGAAGAATTGATGCTGTCATTGATTATCCTCAATACTATCGTTATGACGAACGATGGGAAGATTAACAAATGCAAATGCCTCGCACGTTGCATATTGGTGTTAAGACTCACATGAAAAATTTCTGACATGGACGCATTGCCTATATTGCAATATTTGATCGATGGCTCGAACCGACTGAGATTCAAGTCATTTGGAAGCAGCGTGTCCTACTGACTAAATTGGACAGTATGAGCCATTACATTTTGAGCAATCTTCAAAGTCTACAATCACTTACTTGACAATTAAATGACATTTCGAGTGAATGTCAAAAAAATATCAGTGATAATTGTATCTAAGATGATCGTTGTTCTCTACCATTTGTTCTTGATTGAATTTAAAAAATGGTGCAGCTGCGGGTACAGGTGTGGTGTGTGGGTGTGAATATAGGTGTGAGTGTTGATGTCGGTGTGGGTGGATGTGCGTGCTAAACTTCTCTTTACCCACATGAACATCCACACCCACACCCTTCTTAGGAGCTTTTCTAACCGACGAAAAAACTTACTATGTACGTGATATTTTTTTTGTCTTTGATCGATAATTCAGCAGTTTTTTTTCTCTATGAAATGTAATAGAAATACTGTATCGACAAAAGTAAAATAATAGAACAGAAAAAAAAATGTGCTATATAGTAGTAACATACTATGATTCATCTGTTTAGTAGAGAATTGTGACACTTTTTGTTATTTCTAATATCAGTGAGTTACTGATTCGCTGATATTATTTGAAGTCAGACTTCCAATTTATTTCTATGATTATCGATACGAAAAAAAAACACTGAATGATTCAAGTTTCGCTGTTTTTTCGTAAGATTAATTATTCTGTTCTTTACATGGTAATTTATCTTGTTGATGTATGACAAGAAAATGACTCATCTGTTTTTCACATTGGGTAATGTGTCATGCAAACGACGAATTTACACAACTGCGTGCAATAAAAGAAGAAAAAAGAACACAATATAAAAATGCCTGCATACAACTCATCATACGTTCTTTGCTCGAATACATTCAAATATGACTAGTACAATTACGATGGAAAAAGTTGCTCGACCTGAATTAGCTAAACACGAATCATCGATTCTGGGTAATTGAGCCTTTTATATGTGTATCAATTATTTGAAGAATTTTTTTTCTGTGTACAGATCTAGTCTTTGTCATGGACTGCACTGGATCGATGGGATCATATATTGCTAGTGCTACAAATAATATACGTTCAATTGTTGAAGAAATAGTTGTCAGCGAAAAAAGTGACATTCGTTTGGCACTTGTCGAATATCGTGATCATCCACCTCAAGTAAGTATCAAATTTTGAAGGATGATGTTTACCTCCAACATTTCGTTCTATTTAGGATCATACTTTCGTTACACGGGTGCATGATTTTACTGCTAAATTTAGTGAGATGAAATGTTGGTTACAAGAATGTCAAGCATCTGGAGGTGGAGATGGACCAGAAGCTGTGGCTGATGGACTTCATGCTATTCTCAAACTATCATGGCGTGCTGAATCAACAAAAATTTGCATTCTGATTGCTGATGCTCCACCTCATGGACTTGATCCTAGTGGTGATGGTTTTCCTAATGGATGTCCCGATGGTCTCGATCCTGTACAAATCGTTCGAGAAATGGCAAAAAAACAAATCACACTCTACTCAGTTGGTGTTGAACCTCCTATCAGTAAGTGTTTAGTTCGAAAAATATTCGTTGTTCTCACTGATTGATCTTTTTTCTTTCTAGCGCCTTATCGTGATTTTTTTATGTCATTGGCTTATATTACAGGTGGTCAATATATTCCAATGATTAATGCTAAACTCTTGGCTAAAGTCATCATTGGTGGTGTCCGTGAAGAAATTTCCTTAGATCGGTTGATGCAAGCTGCTGAAGAAGATATTAATCGTGAAATGAAACGAGCAGAAGCAGAAGGTGCTGATGATAAAGAAAAAGTCAAGCGAATCAACGATATTTTTACAACGAATAATCTTTTTTCAACACAAATGGCAAATCCCTTTGGAGTGACGTCGTGTACTGCCAAGGTATATTCTTCAACTTGTCAAAATATGGCCGAAATGCAGCATGCATTCGTATCAGCACCAAGAGCTACTTCATCCGTATTTGCTACAACTTCGACTGCTCCATTTACGTTTGGTCCACCTTCGGCTGCACCTGGTCTATTTGGATCTAGTACATCACCAGCTGCTGCACCG